TTTTAGATTAAAGGTGATCAAGGATCCAAATCTTTTCTTGCATGTCTCACATTAACTCACCTTTTTGCAAGATCCTTCGCCTATATATATGTATAGTTAAATACACATTTTGTTGACCACGTTCAAGGGATTAATCACAAGACGATGAACCACCTTTAGGAACGGTCAACTATAACAATTAGTTGCCCAAGAGTCAAAGAAAGTGAAATTCGTATCTTAATTGAATTTGAGAAATACCACATGATCAAACGAGACTCATGATTTAAGTTGACTTGCTTGCGTGCCAAAAGAAAGCATAAATTTGTTATTACTGGTAGGACATAAACCCACACCCTAATTCTTCTAATAAGGTATTTAGGTCCTAAATATTTAAAAGAACTTAGCATTCAAGAGAGACAACCAAATATGCATTGAGAAATTACACTCAACACTTAGTCTAGTGCAGTTTCTTCGCCTGCACTTGCAACTTATGTCCTTGTTTTTTTTATCATCTTTCTCCTATTTAGAGAAAGAATTTAACCTCATAATTATAAATTATAATAGGATTGTAGATATATCTCTTATTTTTCCAATGTCACTTGACTCGGGTCGTTTGGAGCTACGAGCGATTTTATACGAATTTTACATGCAATTCCCGAGTAAACAGAGACCAGTTTAAGACAGTCGATGTTTTAATCCCCTTATAGCCACAAATGGATTTGAGACTCTTCATAACAGTTGTAGTAGACACTTAGGGATTTCTACCTGTAAAATTTGAGCTTATCCCGATTACAGTTTATCCTCTATGCACTGTTAAACCTACTTGACCCTTTAAATACGATTTCCACATTTTCCTCGGTTCACTTTTATGATTCATACTTAATGATTTGCTACATTTAAATGATCTAAATTTATTTTAATATACTAAACATTAAAATGGAGTTCAATGATTATTATCCTAAGCTTAATCATACAATTTTGCTCTCTTAAGCATTTAATTGAACACTTGATGTGCAGTTAAATATATAGACACAATTTCACCATATTAGTTCCATATTTTACCATTTTAATTCCTAACTTCAGTTTTGGCTAACCCATATATTCTAAAGATATATATATATATATATATATATAGAGAGAGAGAGAGAGAGAGAGAGAGAGGAGTGTTCAAATAAAAACTTGACTCATTTGTGTAAACCGTGCAAACCAATATCATCCATTCATTTTTTTGATCAATGGCTAAGATTACATTACTTTATTTTAGGAAATTAAAAATTAAAAAGTAATTAATATTTATTTTATTTCATCAATAAGGGTAGAATCGGTAAACAAATTTAATTCATAGTATTTTTTATTCAAGGCAACCATATCAGGTAAACTAGGAAATGAAAATGTTTCACCATCATGAATCTATTTCATTAACTATTTTGCAATGAAACCTTTTCACATTGAAATTTTTACATGCAGATTAATTTCATAACGAACAAAATCCATTATGCATTATTTCATTAACTATGAATCTATTTATTAACTATTTTACATGAATCTATTTCATTACCTATTTTACATGAATCTATTTCATTAACTATTTTATTAACTATTTTACATGAATCTATTTCATATACTATGCACCCGTTTCATGATACGTATATTTCATAACAAACAAAATCCATTATGCACTCATTTCATGTTCATTCTACCAACTAAACTGATCAACTTCGATTACAATGCAACATTGATTACCATGAAACTAGTTAATGAATCACGAATCAATTAGAAAATGAAAATGTTTTACCATCATGAACCTATTTCATTAACTATTTTGCAATGAAACATTTTCACATTGAAATTTTTACATGCAGATTAATTTCATATACAATAAAATATACTATGCACCCGTTTCATGATACGTATATTTCMTAACGAACAAAATCCATTATGCACCCGTTTCATGTTCATTCTACCAATTAAACTGATCAACTTCGATTACAATGCAACATTGATCACCATGAAACTAGTTCATGAATCACGAATCAATTAGAAAATGAAAATGTTTTATCATCATGAACCTATTACATTTATATATACCATATGCGTTGAAGAAGAAAATAAATCATTTTACAATGAAACATTTTCATATTAATACAGTTTCATGAACATTGATTTTTTTTTCTCCAACCTCAACCCACGATTTCATTCCTAAAGTTGATATAATCTTCATACAAGCTTTCCAGATTCATTGCATACAAAATAATTAAAAATCAAGATTTTAATAATATAATATAATAAAAGTTTGAAACGTTACCATTTTCATACTTTCTTTTATTAAATTGCCTTAAATAAAATGTATTAATAACTTCCTTAATTATCAAAAAATTGTGTAAAATGACATAAATACCCTTATCAATTAAATTTAATTAAAAAATGAAATTTTCTTATTGGTCGAAATTGGTTTACACGGTTTTTTAGAATTGGATGGTTTGTATTTGAACCTGCCCCTATATATATATATATATATATATATATATATATTAGCACAAACTTACCAATTCATAGCTTAAACATACATTCAAATACAAATCAATCTCAAGAACCTTAACATAAATATCTTAATAAAAATGGAAAAAATTTATACATTTAAGAAAGATTCAGAGAGTAGATTCCAAATTTGGGGTTGAATCTATGATTCCTTTAATAATCTGAGAACAAATTTAGAAAGAAGATCGAGTGGTGTAGAGAAAAATAGAGAATGAAGGCGGTGAAGTCTTGAGGGACGATGATAACTTGCTCTAACTTGATATTATGAATTTGATCTTAGTTCTAAATTTTAAAGCGTTTATGGCAACTTTAGCCCTTCAATAATTATTTATCATCATTTAAGTACGGTACAAATGTACAATTCAAGTAAGTTAAACTGCAAGTTTTTAAAGCGTGTGTCTTTATAATCCCCCATTCTAAAAAGAGATTTCGTCCATAAAATTGAATATAGACAGGAAACTTACATCGATCAAAGAATTCAAGGTACTTCTGCCGCATATGCTCTTCGGTTTGCCACGTCGCCTCATGTTCAGAGTGATTCTTCTAAAGAACTTTTACTAAAGAAATCACTCTCTTCCGTGTACCTCTCTCTCATCGCGATTAAGAATTTCTTCAGGCTTCTCACGATAGGACATGTCAAGTTTTATGTGCTCAAAATGATATTTAATGACATGTAGGGGATGATAATTGTATCCTCGTAATGAAGAGACATGTAACACATTATGTACAAATTATTAAAATATTTCTTAGTTCTTCAATTTCTTTATTGTTAAAGTATTTCTTATGAGTGTTTCTCTTTAAGCAAATTTGTCATTTAAATAGATTGTTTATGATAAATTTTCTTTTCCTTCTCTTTATAACAATATGTAATTATTGGTTTTTATATACATGTAAAATTAAATTTGAATGTTGTGTTTGTATTCAACTCATCCATTCGAGTAAAGCAATTTGGTAGCTTGCAAGGCTCATAACCTTAAGGTTACATATTCAAATCGTGTAAAATCTGAGAAAATATCACACTTTTTTTGCTAAGAATTATTACAACAAAAAGTATCTTGTATAAGGGGTTGTTTGTTTACTTCTTAATAGTTCCATTAAGAATCATCATCTGAATTATTAAGAGTTGAATCTTGTTTGATAAAAAGAAAATCTGCCTCTTAATGGTCCTAAAACATTCTGAATGATTTTGTATCTTGAACTTCCCTTAACCATTTAGCGCCCTATTTTTATTGTAAACAATTACTAAACAATTATATTTCATTTTACACTATATCATGAGAGCCTCTTAATCATTCAGACCACTTAATTATTTTGCACCAAACCATTCAACAACTGTCAAACAACCCCTAAATCATTAACCTAACGGAATCGACAAATCTATTTTATTAAAACAATTATTGTAGTTTGAAAACTTCCAATAAATACATGTACTAACCATTTAATTTTAGCTTCAAATTACTGAGATTTTTTTTAAAAGACATATTTTATAAAATTTGGACCAAAATATTTATATTTTACATATACTTGTTTATTAAACAAAATTTCATTTACGATGGTTGTTTTGATACAAAAGACCGATAGCTGGTTAAGCAAATTACGAAAGAAATTCACTTGCTAGATTAATTCTAAAAGTCAAAAAGTCAATTTCGTTTCGGCATTTTTGCATCACTATTTTGAGAATGATGTTCAAATTCAACGTCGATTTATTTGTATATCTTTTAAAGAACTTGATTTCCAATACGTAATTCTAGAAACGTCCTTCAATTAATCCTGATTCTTTTGTATTTAATAAGTTGTCTAGTATCAGGAGGTCTCAGATTCAAATCCAAGGATGGTGCCTGATTGAGCTTAACTCCAAAGGTAAAAAGTATCAAGAGGTTTCAGGTTCAAATCCAATGAGGAATAAAAATTCTCTTGTGGCCACGGATCGTATTAACTGTCTAGAAGGTTAAAATCAACAATCACTTATATTCATACAATTTATTCAACTTATTTCTTCAAATAATTTGATAATTTATTGGTAATCGTAGATTTTCAGGTTAATTTATGCACATCTCGACTAATCTTATGGCAATAATGACATGAAAACCAGTCAAGAAAATCCCAACAACATTATATCGCAAGATTCAAATTCATTCAGTGCCTTTTCAACCTTCGGATTTCAACGTTTCAAAAAACAAACAACCCAAGGAGTCTACACGAATAGATTTAGATCGACGATTGACGTAAGCCGACATGTGATTGATCAAAAAGTTTGTCATTTCAATTTTCAAAAACTTTTAAAGTTGAAGGACCAAAATTGAACTTGTCTTAAAGTTGATGTCCTTAATACGAACATTTCCAAGTTAGTGCATTACAGAATCTTTGCGGACCCTCACTTTTTAATCACCCTTCTCTTTCCATCGCTCTAATTCCCTACCGGCGAGACCCAGAGAGATTGAGAGAGAAATAAACACCGGAAAAGAAAACCTGAGATTCCTTAAATTCTGCAAAAATTCATCGGAACAAAATGGAGTTTAAGGATCAGAAAACGTTGCTACTGTCGAAATCTGGTGACGACGATGACCAATGGCACGTCTCTTCCCCGATGACCAGAAAAGGCGTCTATGCCGCCATCTCCTACATGGCTTGTGCAGGTTTTCTCGCTCTCCCCCCCCCCCCCCCCCNCCCCCTCTCTCTCTCTCTAGAATCAAACTTCATTTTCGTTTCAGAAATTTACGAATGTTAAGGATATGTTTTGTCGGTATCGGTGAATTTGAGGATGCTGATCGAATGATTTTTCCTCGAAAAATGGACTTCGATTGCATAACAGTGGGAGTACGATGTGTCTCTGAATGCTTTTTTTCTCGAAAATCGTTGTGTTCTTCGGGAATTATTTGTATGGTTGCCGTCACAATTACAAATATTCCAAAAGGTTCCGTAGATGCATCTACCGGTAAAAGTTAACACCTACCTTTATCATTTTTATCAGGTAAGATTTATCACTCTCATTTATTGTATAAGACACACAAATCATTGTTATCACTTTAACCAGTAAGATTTTTAACTCTTGTCATGTTTATTCGATAAGATAAAATGATCTGATAATCATACTTACAAGATAAACGTTTAACAAATAATCCCTGAAATTCTTTATATTTATTTTCTCTACAAATGTGGGTATTTTCTTTAGTACATTATATTTTATTTTTATGTGATTAAAATATATGTAATTAAATCATCCATAACGAAACCCTATTTTGTTTATTATAGAAGCAGTCCACTTTCCTCTTCCAAAAAGTGTATAGGTTTAAGTGCGTCTCAACCTCAGACATACGTTTGAAAATATACTGAATCTTGTTTGATTTAAACCGTAGCATATGATCATACCAAAACCCTTCAAGAAGTGTTTTTCCGACACCAGTCTGTTTGATTTTTGGTCGATTAAATTTACCAGGTTTGAAATGTTTATTAGCTCAACTTAATTTTGAGAAGATGATTAAGAAACAAGAGGAAGGTTGAAATAAGAACCATAAATATTTTAAACTGTGTGTGATCGATTATTTCATTAATTATTGATGATAAATAATTTAAAATATTATTTATTATGAATATCATAAACCTTTATTATTCATAATATTTATTATAATCTAGAACGGTACTCGCGTAATGCAGCGAGATACATCTTGATTTTAATATTTCATTTTATTTTTTTATCCCAATCGATGTTATAATATGATCTTATGTGATTTTGAAAAAACGATGATTTTTTTATTTTTAAATAAAATATAAATTTGAAGACATCATAAAAATTTGACAAAATTATATCGATATTAGTATCAATTTTATTATTTAAAATTTCTTATTTTTGTTTTTTAATTCAAAATTTTTAATTATAATTTAATTTAAGTTCAATAACGAAGTAATTTATATTTGGTTTAGTAGTATAATTTTCTTATACAAAATAATAGTTAATTATTTTGTTAAAATTCGATAATTATTCTAATTATATTTTAGATTTTTATATTTTAAAATGAGATGTTTATTCTTTATTTGATTATGTTTATCCACAGTTAGTTACACAAATTCAAACATAAAGCTTTAATAAGTTGTACTTATACATAATTTACTTGTAATCTTGAACTTTAAGTAATATGCATCAATATACAATACTTTATACATAAAAAATACTTTTTAAAATTTTTTGTCAAATACTTTATAATATAGTATAGATAATCGGTTTCTGAAATTTAAAAATATTTACGAATTTTAAATAACTGCGCCTCAAAAAGAGTAATAACACCAACGTTGTTTTCAGCCAATTGGAAGGATCCACTGAATAGCGTGCAAAGAGGTTAGGTTTATTGAGCTTCTAAGGACCATTCATAGTGCTGAACGATTAAAATAATGTATGAATTGATGATTACCGATTAAATTTTAAAAATATTTTTTACAAGAAAATAAAAATAAAAATAAGTAAAAAAAATCAAAATATATACTGATTTCCATGGAAATAGCAATTAATTTTATTATTCTACTAAAATAGCAAAAAGAAAAGGTTATTAAACCTATATTTATATTATATTCAAAACTATTTTTTATACATGAAGTATCACTTATTAATGTATATTACTTAAAATTCAATATTATAATTCGATTAGAAGGGTATTCATGCAATGTGACGAGATATATCTTGATTTTAATGTTTTATTTTATTCCGTCTCTTTACGGTTTTTATGTGGTTTTGAGAAATTGATAATGTTTTTATTTTTGAATAAAATATAAATTTGAAAATAATATAAAATTTTGAAAATGGATATATCAATATTAGTATCAAATTAACTATTTAAAAGTTCTTGTTTTTTGTGTAATTTATCTAATTCAGTTTTTATTATAATTTAATTTAGATTTAATAGCGAAATAATTTATTTTTTATTTAATACTATACTTTTTTATACGAATAATAATTTAAGTATTCTATTAGATATCAATAATTATCCTAATTATATTTTAAATTTTTTATATTTAAAATAAAATATTTATCTTGTATTTGATTATGTTTATCTGCAATTAATTACACGAATTCAAACATGAAACTTTTAATAATTTGTACTTACGCACAATTTATTTGTTATCTTGAATCTTAAATAACATACATCAATAAACAGTATTTCATGCATAAAAAATAGTTTATAAGAGTTTCTGTCAAATATTTTATAATATAGTATATATACATATATATATATATATATATATAAGAAAAAAAATTAATAGATAAAAATGCATTTGAAATATCTGATTTAATACTGATACTTTTGTAATTTTTTTTTTCTTTCTTACACCTCTTTCGTACAACCATATTTGCATAGCACGAGTAGTTTTTGCCTTTTTGGTGTACATTCCCTCACTTCTGGGAATCTTGTTCCGGCTCCTACCCCAAAAACAAATTCCTTTTTTAGGAAAAAAAATGTTTTTATGGTAATTATTACAATGTGATAACTTTATTCTATTTTATGACTTTAATTTATTTTGATTATATTGATACATATATATATATATATATATTAGCATAGGGTTGTGTTCTGATAAAAATGTGAGAAACGTAAAAAAAAGATCTTTAATTTTTAATACAGATTAGGATGAGATGTACCGGATCAATCTTCATATAAAACACAATTTATAGATAAGTTTGAGATTAAATATGATTAATGGTCCAGATCATTTCTTAAGCTTCTCTATTTTAACAAGGTGGTATAATATTTGTTAGAACAAGTGTATCTTGATCATCATATCAACCAATCAAAAAAGGAGAGAGAAACAACAATAATTTGGTCTATGTTTGTTTGTTTGTGTTGAGTTGAGTTGAGACCATCATATGAATTTTCTGTTACATGTACTTTCAAAGCATCATTTGGGTACAAGAATGTTGGGTGTTTTACAAAACACTCAACTATAAATTTGGTCCTTCTGGTTTTTCAAAATTAACATTTTTCGATTTCGAAATTACAAAATGACTTGTAAAAACGTTTGAATTTTGGTCCTTCCCTATAACGGCTGTTAAATGAGGGGTATTTTCGTTATTTTATTGATTTTTTTTTGTTATTTACGTAATCAAAAATCACAGGGACCAAATTGTAAAAGCGATTTTGATTGGTTAAAAGACAAAAAACAATCAATAAAATGATGAAAATGTTCCTTATTTAACAGATTTCTTTTAACGGCCGTTGGAGGGAAGGACCAAATCCGGACGCTTTTGTAAACCACGATAACTATCTTGTAATTTCGAAACAGTAAAGATGAAAAAAATTATTTTCCATATAGACCAAATCTGTAATTTATTTTTTACAAAAAGATAAATGTAGCAAAATAAAACTAAAAATTAATTACATGTTTGGTCCACATGGTTTATGTCTTATTTCTATTTGTGAAATAATTATGGATTACAATCTCGTGGTTTACATTTATAGTGCTTTAGGTCATTCCCTAAATTCGTTAAAAATTTTCTTTTAAGTAGGTTAATTAGAGGGGTATTTTAGTATTTTCCTTATTTTTTCTTAAAACAAAAAATATGTATTCATATATAAGATTATATATATATATATATATATATATATATATGAGTTTGTTCAAATAAAAAGACTAAATATCATGAGAATGTAAGAAATGAAGGTTAAGTGAAAGTTCATATGTGAATCATTGGAAAAAAAATCTGAAAAACTCTATTTAAAGATGCATATGTGATCAATGTTACAAATTTTTCATATGGTTAACATATAAATATTTAAATGAATTATTTCAAAAATTCACATGTGAACCTTCCATTTTTATCTTCTCACGATATTTAGTTTTGTTATATGAACCTTCCAATATATATATATATATATATATAGAGAGAGAGAGAGAGAGAGAGAGAGAGAGAGATGAGTTATTATACAACCATTTACATTTGTACAACCAATACAACCTAATCTCAACCGTCCATTTAATTTGATGAATATGTAATTTCATAGAAGTTTCGATTGTTTCATAATATAAAGTATAGATTATAATTAATGAACCTTATATTTATCTTCTATAAATATTTAAATCATACTAAATTAACTCTCATCATTTTCATAAATATTTCAATTTATTGGGTTGCATTGGTTGTATAAATGCGATAGATTGTATTTGAAACAAACTCTCTCTCTCTCTCTCTCTCTATATATATATATATATAATAATTTTTTTTAGTATCTATTATAACGACCCCCATCTCAATCTAGTAACATTCCTAAAGTTTAACAAAATACGACTTTCAAAAACCTGGATAATCTCATAAATAAATAACATGTTTAAAACCATTAAAGGGAAAGTATGAGTAAATAGGAGTGCTTATGGATTGAATTGATCGGATTGAAAATATTTGAACAATCCAACCCAATGTTTGCGGTTGGAAAAATCTCAAGCCAACCCAAACCCAATCTGACCCAACTCAAACCGTACAGATTGGTCAGGTTGATACTTTGTTACATCAAAATGTTCTCCTAACCTTATATATGTTGTTTTCTTTACTCATAAATTTTTTTCATCATCATTTAGTACAATTTATCCACACCTCTTAAATCTTAAATATATCACATAAAACTACTTTTCTCAATTTGCATATATTTGTTCA